TGCGTCTAAAGATGGACAACCAAACGGCGATGACTTACATCCGGAAGCAGGGGGGAACGCTGTCTCCATCGCTTCTCCAAGAGACGTGGCAGTTCCTCCTATGGTGCGACTCACATGTTATCAGGGTGCTACCTGTTTATTTCCTCGGGGGTAGACAACGTCCGTGCGGACGCTCTGTCTCGCCGGATCCTCGCTCCTCACGAGTGGAGGCTCGACCCGGGGATATTCGGGATTATCTCCCAGTTATACGGGTCATTCCAGGTGGATCTGTTTGCGTCTGGGGTGAATCACCAGACACCAACGTTCTGCTCCCGAGTCCCCGACCCGAGGTCGGAGGCACCGGACACCTTCCAGCTAGATTGGACGGACAGAATTCTGTGGGCATTCCCCCCAGTACCTCTGATTTCCAAGGTCCTGTCTCAGCTAGCCACTCAGCCTGCGCTCCTGGCACCCCTTTGGTCGGCGCAGAGTTGGTTTCCAGTAATACTCAGGTTTCTGGCTCAGCCTCCTGTTCTATTACCTTTACGACCGGACCTCCTATCCCAGAACGAGGCCCTCCACCCGAATCCCAGGATTCAGTGAGGGGCTTGGCCACTGTCCGGAATCGCCTCCAGAAGAGCGGTATTCCTGCACGAGTTGCAGACACAATACTGGCTTCGCGGAGGGATTCGACAAACGTTCAGTAACGAGGATAGATGGGCCTGCTATGCGCGCTGGTGTGACGATAGAAGGATTGCAGATCCCTTTTCTGCAGATCTCGTAGCCGTGCTTGAGTTCCTCCAGTCGCGACTAGATGTCGGCCTGGCCGCATCGACAGTCCGGGGGTACCCTACAGCTATCGCTGCCTTTCACATCCCCGTCGACGGGGCACTTCTGGGTGCGCACCCATTAGTGCAGTGTTTTTTAGCAGGTGTGGACAGGATCCGACCGCCTGTCCGGCAGATCAGCCCCCCTTGGAACTTGTCAATCTTCTTGATTGGCTGTCCGGTCCTTCCTTTCGGGATCTGTCGTCTCTCTCTCTTCAGCTGTTGAGCTGGAAGACGGCGTTCCTTGTGGCGGTAACGTCCGGCAGACGGGTAGGCGACATTCACGCAATGTCAACCGATCCCGAACTAACTGTCTTTCACCGGGACAGGGTCAGTATTCGCCTGCCGGACTCTTACCGTCCTAAGGTCGCACACGCCTTCCACGTGACGGCTCCTATTGAGCTACCTGCTCTTTCACATCCTTCCTCGTCGGGGACCACTACAAGACATGCTCATGTCTTGGATGTCCGCAGGACCCTCAAGTCCTATATCAGCAGAACTAAGGGTATCCGTAAGGATAATCAACTATTTTGCTGTTATGGCGCTAGGAAGGCTGGCTCACCTGCGAGCAAACAAAGGTGGATAGTCTCTACTATATGTACGGCGTACACCCTTCAAGGTAGGGACCCCCTACCAAGTTGAAGGCTCATTCGGTTAGAGCAGTGGCTACGACACAAGCATACACCGCGGCTCTGCCCATTGAGGAGATCTGCTCCGCGGCTATTTGGAGCCAGCCGAGCACGTTCATCAAACATTACCAACTCGACAAACACTCAAGCGAGCATGCTCGGTTTGGTCAGTCAGTTCTCCGAACTGGGCAAAGTTCTACATCTCTAGCCGATTGAGCCTTCGAGATTTTAGACCACCCGGACCGGTTATAACACTGCTCAGTAACGGTCAGGATTATATCTTCTACGGTCGATAACAATACCAGCCATTACTACTCGATAATCATCGTATTTGCACATGCACTCCTTCGATTCACGGGGACCCTCTGGCCTAGGGTTTATAGTCTCTCGTGATCTGTGCCCCCATATCACTTGTTCAAAAAGTGGGGGGGTGTGTGTGTGTGTGTGTGTGTGTGTGTGTCTCGAGTTCTCGATATGATAAGCCACAAAGAATGGCTCTTTTCATTGCGTATGGTCGATAACGCCCTGTCTCCAGCCCCCGCCTTTCGACGGTGGTGCCTCTCGATAAGGTTGGTTCCATTTATTGAACTCTTGTTCATTGAAATAATCAAAATACGATGTATTTATGCACGCTTGTTGCTGACGGATGCCACTTCCTAGATTACCTTTAGGAGTCTATCTTGATGCAATAAGTGCCCCAAGGAGGATTTAATCTGAAAGAGAATTTTACAAACCTGTAGAGGTTATGAATTCTCTGATGAAATCCTCCTTGGGGCACGGCCACCCGCCTCCCCACATTCCGTCAGCATTAGACATATGGAAAGTGATTTGGGTGAGAGTTGCTTCCCTTGGCGTGACGCGCCGTGGAGGGTGAGGCACCATAAGGGTGGACATATATCATACAAAAACAATTTTTTTTGTGTGGTAACAAATTTTATTAAGGAAAATGGTTACAACTATGTCATGTAGATTTTCTTGAGCCAGGAAAATGCAATAAGTGCCCCAAGGAGGATTTAATCTGAAAGAGAATGTGGAATAGAACCCTGAGCCCAGACACTCTACGACATTCTTTAAAAGCAACATGCTTGTAGCATCTTTTTCAGTGTCTTCTTAGACTTTGTGGGTTTTTCTGTAGCCTTGGATAAGTGATCTGAAATATAGCTCCCTCACTTGTGCAGAGAGAGTTTGAATGATTCCTCCAGCAAGGAAGCTCTCAACGCTCTGAAATACTACACATGCCGGGCCAATCGGAGCACTTGAAGTATGAGTCTGAAGGAGAGAGGACACATCTGAACGTCATACGTACTGGATGCCGTGGGGGCTGCTCATCCATGATGAGTTTGGCACTCAAAAGAAAAAAACGCAAACGCAAACCGAACGACAATGCCGATGCAGGCAAGAAGACGTAAAAAGGAAAAATGGCAAGGAATAAAACAAAAATGGATTCCCTTTTGATGAAAACGTGTCACCACTGTCTGGTGATTTGAAAGAGAATGAGCTTGCTGGGACAGACACGTGATTGGCGCATGTAGGTCAACCAGCATGCAAAGCGTGCAAGACCCAGATCTGGGAGGTGACCATGGCTATGTGAGGTATGTATGTACCTTTATTTCAGACATGTTTCCACTTAGGATCGAAAGAAAAAAGAGAAATGCACAGTGTGAGATAGGATAACTTTAAAAATATGGGTTCTTTTCTAACCATTTTCGAATGGAGGCAGGTTAATTCAACTTCAAAAACATTCCAGAAACTATCATAAAAAGGTTAATGTTTGTACTTGCGAGTAGCCGTGACATACTGCAAGTCCTGTATCTATCATGCGATGAAATATTGTGCTTAGATTTGCATAATTAAACAGTCGATAGGGGCTGTGGATTGTGAGATTTACCGATACAGCGATAATATAGGTGAGGAGAAACGAGGATATTACGTCATGTCCAAGATTATTGCACTTATATACCACCTAGCCCAGTGCTAGCCCACTGAGATACCATGCCTCAGTTTAACATGAATACTAGGGGTTGGCCAATTCACATACAATGTGATTCAATTTGATTATCAAATTTACATGTCCGATTCAATTTGATTTGACTGATTCATAATTTGACTACTTCAGTTGGTATCACTTGTTTTATAATAAGTTTTTTCAAACATTTGAGTATTTATAAGTTTAAATTAAAGAATGGTGCATCTTTTGTCTTACAGAATCATGTTGAATGTAAATAATAATAAAATTAAAAAAACGCCCTTTGTTTTCTGTTTATTTGGTGTTCAGTTTCAGCATAATGCAAGTGAATATTAACGGATAACTAAATGCCTAAAACACACATTCAAAACTAAAAAATTTGTGAGGTCAACCAGCAAGCTAAAAGTCCTCTTTTACACTCACAACACTTCAGGTATTACTAGGAGGAACAGCACTTATGACGACTTCATGTACTACTTCAATATTTTTTCATCAAACTTTGCAGGTCTGTCAGGTACATGCTGAACTGGTGCCTTTTGCTATTTAGAAATTTTAGAATTTTTTTACTTTTTACGTTTCCATGGCAACAAGAAAATCTTAGGTTCCAAACTCTTCTTTTTTTTTACAATTTCCATGACGCGTTCCATCTCGGTTAAAAAAGGTTAGGGTTTGTTTAGATTTAATTATGTCATAAATTCTTCAACAGGGGTGGGGGATATAGCCACATTAGTGGCAAACTTTTGTTTTATTTTTGTCTACAGAATGTGTCCCATCTTGTGCCTGGGGCCACTTGTCAGAGTGTTTTGGGGCGGGGGATATAGCCACGTTAGTGGCAAGCATTTTAAAAAGTATTTTAAGTATAAAAATAGTATCTGTCATCACCCATTTCCCCATAACAGTGGCTGTCCGCTCAGTAACATGAAGAAATAACCCCGTTACCGAGGCTTCGGGAAATAGTGAATAATTTTTTAATCTGTCAATCAAAAATGATAAACTGAAATGGAACACGTAAACGGTCAAAAACTAACATCATTAACATAGAAATATGTTAAGTATGTTAAATTTGATAAGCATGAATCATTTTACCGAATGGCTATGTAAGGATTTTGAATCGATTCAAGAATCGGAAATTAAAAAAGATTGATGTATTCGGGGATCGATTAATCGTCCCACCTCTAAATTGAATAACACACTGAGACACAGTACAAAGACTCCAGAACCAACCAGTCCTTGTTTTAGCCCCTTAATGCTGAGCTCCAGACAGGGTAACAACAATTACAATTTTGGGATCAAACCCTTGGCATTCCGCTCTTCAGGCAGACATTCACTACTAGACCACGGAGGCGGTCCCGCGATGATATAAAGTCTGACTACACATATCATACATACTCTCAGATTGGCCCACTGTGATCTCAGTCACTTCTGAGGACAGGACTTTAGATGTCAGTATTATTCAGGAGTGGAGTTTGATCATGTTGGCAATACAAATACAGAAAACAACAAAATTATTAGAAGTAGCCCACTTTCAGCGGTTGCCAAATGAAAACGACACATATTGTGAAAATACAATGAAGTCTTATTTGAGGGGTCACCTCTCACCTCTAAATGTGGTCCTCGGAAATAGGTGACATACTCTGGACCATTGTATGTTGGTTCAGGCAGAAATATGAACTGGACTGAAACATGAAATGTCCACCAATCAAAACCTCAATGTGATGAAACTCATGTCAACGAGAAACAACCATGAAATGAAAGTGAGTTGAATCATTTTACCTGGATTCATTGCTCAAAAGAGCTGTTTGTTTGTTGTTGTATATAAAATCCAGTTCTTTCATTTTTATCATATTAATTACAAGAAGAACATGTTAAATTTAAACCTTAATTGTTTGTGCACATAATTGTTAACTTTGTATTGTAACAACAACAAGAAAAGAGGTTAATCACCTTCCCTCACCATGCGGCACATTAGAATTGTTTGTACATATAATAGTGAAGATAAACTATTAAAAAAAGAGTCCAATAAAGCCTTAAGAAGAGATTGGCACTTGGGCCGCTTTATGTCATCAGAAACAAAATGATTTAATGTGAAATTAATACACACAAAAGGCCACTTCTCTGGAAAAAATAACTCAGTCTTGATAAGCTAACATCAGTAGTATCTGAGAAAACATGTCCCCATTGCAGACAGGACCAATTTTTGAAACTCAGTCTTGACAAGTATATCTAAGATAAGCATGCAAACTTCCATTCATGGTGCTTCAGTGGTTTCTGAGAAAACTTGTCCCCATTTCACACAGTATGCACTGAGCTGAAAAGCATGGAGCAAGGGCACCTATTTTTTTAACTCATTTGAGATCATGGCTAGTAACACCAGTATAAAATTTCATTTCACTGAATTCAATAAATTTTGAGAAAATTTGTCCCCTTTGAGAACCGGACGGACGAACTCTGTTCCTATATCCCCCGCCCCACTTGGTGACAGGAAATAATAATCATCCCAGTGGATTAGACATGGTATGATTGGGGTTGTTAAAATTGATTTGTAAACTGGAATGAAAAACAGTCATTTCTGCTAGATAGTCATTTCTAATCTCAGAATATATTCATGTTATTTCCACAGACATCAAGAACAACGTGTAAAAAAGATATTTTCATCCTAAAGGCTGGATACAAATTCTGGGAATATAAGCCAAGAGACACGATCGCCTTCAACTGAGATGAAACGCACTACTTACGTAAACACAAAACACAGTAAGCTATACCCAGACCAGGACTCTGCTTGAAGAACATCACCACATTCAAGATCTTGGCAAACAAACAGGTAGTAGAGATATATTTGTTGATCGTGGCTGAAAATTAAATTGAATTATTACATCAAAAATGAAATATACAGGGCTATTATTATACATACATTTTGTTCCTAACAGCTGCTGATATTCATCCTGTCAACTCAAACAGTATTATATGGGGTGCACCAATGTTATCACGTACATTTGAATTTGACCAAATTTATACATCAGATTTGTCACAAAATGTTACTAGATGGATTAAGAGTAAGACACAAGAACAGAAATTTAAATTGTCAAAAGTTCAACATAAGGCTTTAAAAGCCAATGATTATATCTAATTTTAGAGCAAAACCTGAAATAGTTCGGACATGTTACATCCATGATAAAAGTCATGTTAGTGTGTGCCACGAACCTTCTTTTCTATTTTTCAAAACAATGACGCAGCCAAGAAATGTGATCCATTCCCACTCTTTCTGAAAAACATCAAAACAAAATCAATTAACAAAATCCAAACCATACTGTAGGGAGATGTCCAAAACAAATAATTCAGTTTTCCTAGAATGTTAAGAATTGGTGGTCTGTAGTTGGCTGATAAACATGAATTATACCCTTGGGTAATTGTTGTGTTCATTCATTTATCACCTCCGGCCAAAGGTTCTACTACACCAAATCAGAACCAGTTGGGACAGTGTGGTTTTCGTAGGGAGCCTTCACTGCAGATCGAGAGATATCTGCAGGCTGTGATTGGAGGATATTCTGTAAGATTTTTATGTCTTTTAAATGTACATCCATCAGGTTATCAAAACTGATCATGTTTTTCAAGATTTAGTACTGTCTTTTTCAACATGATGACTTATGCTGAATGTGACCACAGCTATTTTCAAGTAGGTGACATTTGGTGCAAGCTAGTCATTTTTTTAGTTTTTATTGCTGCTCTAAGGCCAAACTGTGCACACATGTACAGGTAATTAGCTGTTGAACATGTTGAATGTAGGGCTGGGACGAGTCCAAATCTATTACCCGGGTACCCACACCCCTATTACCCGACCCTATCCGGGTACCCGCTGTTGGTGTCGAGAGATAGGTACAAGATGTCAGATTGGGAATAGTTTGACAGTAGCCATGGCCGACTGTTTTCAGATACACGTCTAAAACGATGTGGTCATGCATACACTGAAGTTTAGCTTTGTTCAAACATATTTAAGTTTGAAGGAAGTGTTCATCGTCATGACGAAATGCGAACATTAGAGACTTAAAATTGTTGTGTAACCATTTACTCATGTAGTGATTTTTTGTGATGAAACAATATATCACGTGACTAACCACGAGTCCGGGTAGTCCTGTGGGTACCCGGTTTCTACTCAGTACCCACCTGACCCGGGTACCCGAGTTACCCGCCCCAGCCCTAGTTGAATACTTAGGTTTTTTTAAAATATAACGCTACTATAGAAGTCTGTGGGTAACATTTGGTTGTGTGTAACCTATCACATGTTTTATATTCAACCTCTGTAATTAAAACTGACAAATTTCAAAACAAAATAGCCCTTCAACCAATCAAATCAATATAAAATTTACACATTGCAGCTTTTTCAATGCCAAGTATGATGATTAGAAATAGAAAACTGGAGGTATAACGATAGTCAGGTTGTGATACATTATATATCTACACTCTATGGGTACAATACGATTCATATCCCAATAGAGTACTTATATATACATAAGTTTTCTTCTTGCAGGTGAATCACAAACCTGAATCATTTGTTTTTCTAATTTCAGACAACAAAGAAGGGATATTGTAGGGCAGAAGCATAGAAGCTAGAGGACACTGTGAATGTTATGCTATTTGTGGCCAACCACAAAACACTAGAGAATCTGCGTAAATTTCTGTTATTATTCACATGTTTGTACACCAATATAACTTGTAATGTAATGAATATATAATGAATCTCAATACAAGGGGTGGTAAATCAATGTATTCTATTGTGAGCTTCCTATCAGGACACGATACAGTATCGACACAATGTTACACCACTAATAAAAAATGTTTGAAAAACCAGAAGCTGACCCAACCCTTCCTTTTCCTGAAAGCCCCCAAACTTTTTCACCAGAAACATTTATCATGAACCATTTTGACGTTACCAAATAAAGTGACTACACTTGATTATCTGTACTCATGGTTAAACCCAATGCAGTACATCTTTGTCAAAAGCCCTGAGCTACCCTAAACCTTGGATAAGCACTTCCAGTTTAAGGACATCACTTCACAACACAACATATGCCAGGTCCAAAACAACTGTGAAACAGAACTCCCCATGCCTCCAGCTACCAAAGCAGTACTACTTTAAGAATTACCATTCCAGTGACCATGAAGTTCAATGAAGGTCGCTGAAAAAATTACTACTAACACCCTAACATGCATAAGGATATGAACCAAATTTTATCCTACTACAGTGAGTTGACCTTGAGAATTTGGTCTTCAACATCAGTTGCAAGAATTCCAAACAGCTATCCAGCAAATAAACCATGGATAAAACATGACAGAGGTTTTGGTTGAAAATGTAAAACCTCGAGAGAAGGAAAATCCTGAGACTTGGTAGATCATACAGGTTATTGGTTAAAATAGTGATTGACAATGACCATGCACATTGTATTCTCTTGAGGTTCACTATTCACATGTGTCATAATCTCATGATTAAAAAGTAAATAGTAAGGATTATTCCACTTATGGTATCGATTTTAATGACCAATGAAAACTGAAATGCTGTCATAAATTTCTGTGTCGAGAGAATATACAGTACACATATTGTCCTGTTGTCAATCAGAGCTTTCAGCATCATATATGCCTTTGTTATTCATGACAATACTATTATTGTCGGATCATAGATTTTCGGGCATCATACATTTTCTATCATGAATACTTGCAGTATGACAAAGGATGTGGCCTCACACAGAAATTGTAAATACTCAGAAGATGGCTTGTTTTAAAGATAAGGTTTGTCTTTCAGAAGTGAAGGAAATGTTTTACACTTGTTCAAGTGATTAGCGAAAAAACTATGAATGTTTCTTTAGCGTCCGAAACATAACACAGGGATATATGTTGTATTCATGTATGTTTGCAATGTTGTTTTAGTTTTTTTCAACAAAATGTAAGTACAGTGTGTGTGTGCGTGCGTACGACTTTTGCCATTTACTTATTACATTTCTTGGGTCCAAGTCATTGACCTGTATACAGCCTTTTGTGTCAAAATCACTAGGTCAAATGCGGATAGAGATGCAAATATCAAATGCTCAATGGCAGTTACTCATGCTGACAAACCGATGGATTGCCGCGAAAAGTAAGTAGAAACAAAAGGCTTTCTTATTTAAATACATGTTCATTCCTAATACAGGATATTTACCATCCCTAAACACACTCAGGCGATAATCTCTATTTATTAGAATCATACATGATACATAACATTGAAAGTTCATAAATATAATATGAACACCATAAGTATACAGGATTTACTTGTTTTAAAACCCTGTAAACTGAACAAATCTCCATTTCTCTTTACATGCACAATAAAATTTAGAACAAGTAAGTAATTGAAAACTGTTTAAATTAAAACAAGACACAATATGAGCAGAGCTCACTAATACCTCCAACTTCGACTCCAACATATTTCTAAGTTCAAAACATGAAAAAAACATGGACTATTTTCTCAGAAAATCCACTTATTGAAATCAAACTGCATTGCATCTCTCCTGTCGGTATAGAAAATGTACTCCCAATTAGAAAAGACACCATAACATAGTTTTCAAATTATAGGTCTCACAAATCTTTAAGTTAAAAAATCTAAGTTGAAAACATGAAAGAAATCATACTTTTTAGAAAATCCACATATCAGAATCAAAGTTTGCACTGCAAAGCTCCTATAAGTATAGAAGGCAGTCCTTATATTGAAAGAATCCATGAAGTAGCTTCTCAAGTTATAGGTTGCACATATGTTGAATGATAGAGTAAAAAAAAACATTCTTAGTTCAATACATTTTTTCTCAGACAATCCACATATCAAAATAAAACTTTGCATTGCACCTCTTTTATTAGCATGAAAACAATTCTAGTAAAATCCTAGATATTTTTTATATTTGTATACTTATCCTGAATTACTCCTCAATGCATATTACTGCTTGTTCTTGACAGAGAAAAGAGCTGTGTGAAGATCTTTGCTTGAAGAAGTTGTTCCAACTAGCTGAGAGGCCAACCCTATCACACAGCTCCCATGTGACCAAAGGAAGTGACGCCACGGATCCTCACATTACTCTGTAGTCCAGACATCGGAAGGCATCGTGGGGAGGTACATCTGTGATGGGTGGGTCACTTTAGACAGTGATGCAGGATAAGTATACAAATATAAAAAATATCTTGGATTTTACGAGATTTTTTACTTATCCTGCATTACTCCTTAATGCATCTTTATCGGGCGGAACAGGAGGCGGGCATACCTTCAGATGTGGACTTTCATCTTTTATTTCCAGACTCTCTTCCCTAGCCAATCCTTAGCTGTGTGGTCGGTTTCGGGTGACCACTCCATGTATGGGAACCTCCAATTCCCTCAGCCCTACCTCGGCTGTGTGGTCGGCATCAGGTGACCACTCTATGTATGGGAAACTCTGGAGTACCGAGCCGTATGCAGGTGGGGCATGAACCTTCTAGTCCAGGGCTTACGTCAGGGGAGGTCAAACAGCCGGCTCTGCACTTGGAGGTGAGGTCAGTGACGTGTAGTAGAGGAGCCTAAAACATCCTTCAATGCGACATCTCGTATATGGTGACTGGCGATGAATGTGTTTGATCGCCTGAACACCTCTCCATGATGGCAAGTAGAGCTCAGTTGCTGTGTAGCCCCATGGTGGAGGCCATTGCCCGGGTCTCATGTGGGTTGTTGGAGCCTGGATGGTCCAAAGCTGCGGCCTCATAGACCTGGAGAATGAAGGCTCGTAGCCAGAGGGTAATCGTGTTGCGGCTACCTTCCGCTTGCAAGGTCGCAGCTCTATACTGGAATGAAGAGGCGCCGTCGCTGTCTATGGCGTTCCTTGGATCGTCTGATATACCAACAGAGTGCTGTAACCGGATATAGACGGAGCTCTAGTTCATCTTCAGCACCCACAATCGAAGATAGGGGAGGGATGAGGAACGATCTATCTGGTTGTCATGGGAATTGATTCTTGGCGAAGCAGTCCCAGCACAGTCCAAGATGCACGTCCCCATGTGCGCCATGCTCAAAGTGGACGAGCGTGACGTCCCAGGCATGTAGTTCACTGACACGGGCTGCTGTGGCGAGCACCAGTAGGAAGACCATTTTTTCATCAGATTGTAGGATTGCGTCGCTTCAAGGGCGCGTCTCTCAGCGAGGTGTGAATGACATTCAAGCCCCAAGCTAGTGTACGAGATTTCGCCTTTTGGTCTTCCAGCCTGAATGAGCGCAGCAGAGCC